AAAATGGGTATAAGACAACCTACCTCAGGGGTATCTGGGAGACTCAGTCAATAAAGCATTTGACTTTGGTTCAGGTCATGATCTCGCGGTCTGTGGGTTTGAGACCCGCATCAGGCTCTGTGCTAACAGCTTGGAGCCTGAAGCCTGCTTCAGATTCTGTGTCTCCCTCTCTCTCTGCCCCTCCCCTGCTTGCCTTCTGTCTGTCTGTCTCTCTCAAAGATAAATATACATTTAAAAAACTTTTTTAAAAAAGACTACCTATCTCATACTAGAGACAACGGATCAAGTGCCTGACTTGTGGAGACAACTTCATACACAATGTCATCAAGGTAAAAAGAAATCCCATGGTGAAGCTGAGGGCCTTGGGAATAAAGCTTCATAGAACCACAACTTAACGCGGAACAACTATCTGCTGTGCTAATATAGACACTGCCTCACTTTGCTTTCCGGTTATTTCTACAGCTCTCTATGCCCTCATCCTGTCAGAACAGTGCTAAAGTGAGCACTCGGCCACTACTAGTTGACTTGCCTGCTGTTTATTCCTGAACATCTATCAGGCTGCTGCCCAGCCCGAATGATAACACGGGGGTGCATTTGCTGAGGGGAGCGGTGGTGGACACTGCAGGGAGGGGAAGAGCAAAGCTTGAAATAAGAACGAGCCTCTCCGGCATCCGTAATCCCACAAGTTAGTGGTTTTGCAGCCATCCTGAAGTTCGGAAAAGTCCCATGTAGGCCTGAGGATCTGATTTGGTTCCCAGATCTCAGGTCGTTCTGCTTAATCCGCGGTGGCTGCATGAAAGCCCCTGACTGGCATGGCAGGCTCTTGGTCCACAACCTGCAGTCATCGTCTGGCCGATCTGTCTCTAGGTTGGTCCAGGATGAGGTTAGCCTCTGGGAGCGAGAGTTCTTGCTAGAATATTCTGCTGTGGCATGTGGCACTTTTTCAGGTCCCACTTCAAAATGGTGACAATTCTATCAGTTATGCAGCGCGCAACAAACTTTAGTTAGAAGTCAGTATAGGTGCTTATAAACCGGTCCCCAGGGACAAATGGTTTTTTTTTTTTTAACGTTTATTTAGAGAGAGAGACAGAGAGAGAGCATGAGTGCGGGAGGGGCAGAGAGAGAGGGAGACACAAACTGAAGCAGACTCCAGGCTCTGGGCTGTCAACACAGATCTCAATGCGGGGTATGAACTCATGAACTGTGAGATCATGACCTGAGCCAAAGTCAGATGCTCAGCTGACTGAGACACCCAGGCGGCCCAGATAAGCGTTTTTTTTTTTTTCTTTTAATGTTTATTTATTTTTGAGAGACCGAGACAGAACGTGAGCAGGGAAGGGACAGAGGGACAGGGAGACACAGAATCTGAGGCAAGCTCCAGGCTTTGAGCTGTCAGCACAGAGCCCGTATGCGGGTCTTAAACTCATGAACCATGAGATCATGACCTGAGCCGTAGTTGGACAGTTAACCGACTGAGCCACCCAGACACCTCTCCCAAGGACAAGTTTTAATTCAAACTTTCTTGTATGCTAGCATCTGTTAGAATTCATTTCATTGTTAAGATCCAGGTAATGATAGCAATTTTCTGACCAAAGGAGAAAAAAAAAAGCCACGATTCAAATACACTGGCACTTTGTAAAAAATCTCTTGGTGGTTTTAAATAAAACCCATGGTGGTGATGATAAAAGGTACAGGGACAAGGAAATGGAGGGATGGGAAAGGACATATGTCAATTTATGCACTGAGATCGGTTCTCTAGCTCTTGGAATTGCTGGGCTGGGCCCTGCCACAGACACCCTGCAGTTCTAGAGAGGCGCTGGGCAGCCCGCCTTCAACCCGCAAATGCAAACCGGAGTACAGGGGTCGGCTGTGGATGAGAACACACCGGTGCTCCCGAACGAGACGAGTGGGCAGCAAAGGCCGAAAGCAGCCAGGCACGAGGCTTTGGGAAAACCATTTGACCTCTCTCTATAGAAGGACAACCAGTGATGACTGGCATTCTTGAGTCATAAAGAAACGCTTTTGAAATGAATATTAATGGACTTTTCCTAGAGTCCCAGGACAGTGGTTGTCAAGCCAGATCAAGCATCCTCATCACACGGAGGGCTTGCGAAGACAAATGGGCGGAGGCTCCATTCCAGAATTTGTATCGCGATGGGGCTGGGGGGAGTCCTGAGAATCTGTATTCGTAGCAAGTGCCCGGATGATACTCGCCGCGCAGTCTGGGCACAGTTCTGAGGTCCACTCCGTGAGACTGCTGGCCTGTGGATTTCGGGGTCCCAGGAATCGGCTGAAAACCAAAGTCTTCACCACCTCACCGCCTTACATTTCCTCCGCAAAGAGGAACAAATCAACAAAACAAACCAAAACATTTAAATGTTTCGACCACAAATAACTACTATACTGAAGCACTTCTGCACAGATGACTTTGAAAGGTGACTTCATCTGTGAGCAGCAGGGATCTCCTAACGTACTTCCCTAGAGACCCATCCTTACAGCGGTGAAGGTTCCCGGCAAATTATGTACCAGAAGCCAAGGCATCAGCATGGTATGCTTCCTACATTTTTATCCACAGAGTTACATGATGCAACTCCCCGAAGTCCGTATTTTAAGCACAAAAATGTTCACAAGCTGTTAAGGATTGTGCTGAGGTGAAGGTTGAGCGATTCTGCAAATGTTTCCCTTTCTTCCAAACTTTCAGATCCCTGGAGGCCTTTCCCGGGGTCTGGGGGATGAGTCGCACTCGAGTCTGTGATGAGACCCCCTCCCATCCTCCCACCTCCACCCCCCCAACCCCCGGCAAGCAGGGGCCACATCAGATGAAAGGGCCTCTGTACAGACTATAGACGGATCCGCAGAGCCCTCCGTGGCAAACTCAATGGATGGTGCATGTATCTGGGCTAAAAATAAGGAGTCTTTAGGAATCAGAGAAGAAAACATTTTTATAAAGAAATTTTATTGCGTAATTTCTGTATACAATAAACATAGGAAAAGGGTTTTTTTAATGAAAATTTCATGACATTTTCCAAAAGTTTTGAATCATTTGGAGAAAAATCATTACAAAGCTATCTAAGACAAAAATATCTGACCTTCAGAACAAAGGAGAATCCCTTTCGTGATAGTCCACCTTCAAAGCAAGGCATCTCAAGTCAATTAACATGGAGAGGCTTTTGAATTGCTATGTCGTTTGCAGTAAGTATTTAAATGCATCTAAGAAGTGAAAGGTTTAAACAGATAGAAATGTTCTCTAATATAATATAGACCACCGCTTTCTTCAGACCCATTCTGCATGACTGGACGGAGGTACTTGTCACACACCAGCAGAAGCCCGCATCTCCTAATGGTGCAGCAAGGGCTGGAGTGCAGAGAGGGAAAGTCCCATGCATTTCCTACATTAAATGGCACAACTCTCACCGATCACATACACCTTGCCATATTGACTCAGTTCATTGCACTCCATATCCTGCAAAAATAAATCTAGTGCTCGACAGCTGACATTATTGCTCACCAACGTTTCAGTAATATATTTCTTTAACATAAGACAGAAATATACTGAAATTTGATACCACTTAAACTCAAAAGCAATCTGGAATTAAACCATATGCATATACCCCACTTTTTTTTCAGTGGATGTTGCATTTTTCTTAAAGTTGATGCTGGAAAATGTGGTCGAAGAAAAACTGGCTTCCCTTGAAACAAAGACAAAGGGTTAGAAAAGAAGGAGGTTTTGAGGGCAATGTTAAGCCCCATAAAAAAAAAACAAAATGAAAGGGCAATGGGAATTCTGAATCTCGGCGGGGAGGGAAGAAGCCCTTCATTTTCCTTGTCTGCCCTGATACGGTGGCTAGTGTCCAACAGACCCTGGGCCAGGCTACCACGCACAGCGAAGGGAGAGGGGCTGAGTGATGCAACGGGTGGGTGGACCCTGGGACAGGGAAGTCTCAGGAGGCCCGCTTCTCTAGCCGACCCCTTTCTGCTCTCTGAGTAAGGAAGGGGCTCCTCCAGGCTGCTAGGATGGTCTAGGGGCTGACGCTTCAGTGGTCTTGAATTTTACATCTCATTTCCAGAAACCCCCCAGGGCCTGAGGCGAGGCAGCCGGGAGTGGGGAAAGGAAGAGCGTGACTTATCTGGAGGAGCGTAGTCTCCGTGACGACACAGTCACCAGGGTATCAGGGCCTCCCCTGGATGTGGTGTAGACACCTAGAAGAATGCGGACACGACCCCACTGCCATTTTGACTTGTCTCTTCCCATTTTAACTCCTCGTTGTTTCTCACTGTAAAACTGTCAAGTGTCCCTCTTTCTTATTTGTCTTGGTGCTTACAAGGAAGGATGTCAGTCGCATAAGCTTTTGAAGATGTACAGAAGGAAATTTTTTTAAGGACTACATTTCAGGATTCGCAGTCAAGGCTACAAACACAATATGCATCAATCATAAGCTGTACCTTCACACCTGGCGATGGTGATATTGTCTTAAAGTACCACTGCCCATACTTGTGGAAACCTAAGAGTGCACAGTGCCATCCACTCCACCGGGCTAAATGTTCCACAGCATCTGAGCAGAGCTTCTTAGAGTGAAACCAGCCGTAGTGCTACAAAGAAAAATTTCTGGCTCTTGGCCCAACTGTTTCCATACCAATCAGCCAAGTCCACCTTCTCTCCACTTCTTCCCATTTCAAATGCTTGGGCTTCAGCCTTTGAGGCAATTAGAACCAGATCAGTTTAATTTTACAACACTGATCTTTAACTGTACAGCAATATAGTAATTGTGCCCTGAGAGTGCCCATTATCTTATAAATATTATGAGTCCCAGTTTACATATGAAGAGGAGGCATGGAGAGGCTGAATGGCCTGTCCCTTGTCATGCAGCGGAGTAGTGTCAAGGGTGGGACTTGAGCGCCTAGTTCTTCCTGTTTTAACCCTTAGTATCCTTCCAGAGGTCACCTGATCCTCTGTGTACAAGGTCCCCTCCCCCCCCCCCCACCCACCCTGAGCTCTGTTACTTGCAGTATGGCACCAGCTTTTCTGCTCGACACTGGGTACTTTAATAACCAGGACTTCCTCCTTGGTCCTCTCTGCTCTCTTACTTCCGCTGCCTTGATGAAGTGTACTGTCCCCAATATTTTATTTTACACAGTGGAATTCACCAAAATGCCCTTCCAGCTGCAGCAGAGGGACGGACTTCTAAAAGGCAATGACAGGTGTTCTTCTTTGTGGATTTTTAACAACATGGGGCTCAGCACTTTACAGTTGTCTTACATTCCAATGTTTTCAATGGAAAATAAAATAAAATAAAGGCCTAACCATGAGGTAATGTTTACTCTCTGCCACAACACTCAGTGCACCCCCTCGGATCTGGCAACAATTTAACATAAGGAAAGACTTTAGACCTTCACACCCATTTAGTGAGAATAAACGACCTTAGCTCAAACTTTCCACAGGGCTGAGAAGTCTCAGGCGTCAGTCCACCCTTATCTCAGGTGGGCCCGCACAAGTGTCTCAAGGCCCTGCATCTTGCGGCCTTGAGCACCCGGTCCCCGAGCCCTGTGCCCTCTCCACTGCAGAGATCTTGAGCTTCACATTAGGAGACCAAGCACCTTCCACCTGCCTCATAAGCAAAGGGTAGGGGGAGGGGGAGGGAATCTCAAAAGAAGCTATGTGCTCAAAGAAAAGAATGCCAAATGGTACTCAAGTGGCTTGTGAAGACGGTTCCCACAGCTATCTCCGTTCGCTGAAGTTATAAACAGTTCTGGATCTAGTCAATAGCAAAATACATTGGTGGCCAGGGCCTCTGTTTAAACAAAAGAAGAAAAATATTGATAGCACAAAACTGCCCTTCTATTTTTTTTTTTTTTTGAAAAAATATATCTAAGACAATTCTGAGTATTTTTTTTAACCAGCTGTGCATTAAGTGCACTTGTTTCCATGGCCCTCCGGGCCCCTACAGCTCCGCGTGGCCTGCCTGGGCTGGGCCAGCTGGCCCAGGGCCTCCCTCGGCGCCACCGCGGCTCTCTGCTGGCGTGAACGACAAGGAGGCCGAATTTATGCAGTATCTTTTGCCGGTTGGACGAGGTCCGTCATCAAAAATGTGCCCGAGGTGAGCCCCACACTGAAAGAGAAGAGCGAAATGGTAAGGGAGAGGGCGCACAAAGCGGGCTTTGAGAGGAGCTCACATTCGGCCGTTTAAATGGATGACCGGCCTGTGGAGAAACGATGGAAACCATCATGGATGATTTCTAACCCGCCTGTCAATAGCCGCAAAGATGGTTTCTGGCAGGCGCCTCACCACATGCTGAGAATAAAAAACACCAGAACTGTGCATATCAGAAATCATTTCGGAGCCACTGTATTTTTTGATCTATGAAGTCTCTCAGCCAGCTGAAAAAAGGACTGCGGTAATTTTATGAATTGAGTTGACCTTTGATTTCCCCTTGTAAGAAACATGGCAGAAGAAAATCTCGCGCTCTCCCCCTACCCACTCCCCGGCATTACTTTTGGCTTTGGATGGGTGGGTTTCAGATATGCAGAAGTCCACTGTAAAAGATACTGTGTAACTGGCCATGACAGAGGTGATGTTTGCTTTCATGGGCAGTAAAACTTAACATCAGACAAGCACTGGATGTTCTTGGAACCCAGCAAAGCAATGGCAAGGCTCCGCAGATTTATGTCATGGTCACCAGGACTGCAAGTACGGCAAATAGAAATGTCACTCTCCAGCACGATCGTTTCCTTTTGGCTTCCAGTAGGTGGAGTGCCTCTGGCTTCTTTACCCACGTGAACTCTCTTATGTGGAAAAGGAATATGCTCAAATCCATGCTACAGACTACCCAAAAACTCGAGAAGGAGAAGAGGCCCAGAATCCAGACAGAAGCAAGAGGGATGACTGGCGAGAGAAATCCAGCCCAGAGATTGGATTGGTCTGCGCCAACCAATCAGATGCAGGGTATGGCTCCAGGAGATAAGATATGTCACACTTATCCATCCCTCTCCCTTTCTCAGCAGAGTAAAGAGTGAGGGATATGGAGATGTTAGTGCATCGTATTCAAACAGGCTATGGAAACACATCATTTGTCATGTAATCTAGGAAGCTAAAACCTGAGGCAAATGACTTCCATTCATTCCTTTAACAAATACTTATGGAGCACCTGCTACATGCCAGGCACTGTCTCAGACACTGAAGATACAGGCAACAACTGTATCAGTTGATACTGATACACGCAACAATCCTTGGCCTCGTAGAGCTTACATTCTAGTGGGAGAGACAGGTAATACACAAAGAAATAAGCTGACTGTCAAGAGTGATCGGTGGAAATAAATGCTGAGGAGAGGGGGAAAAATAAAGAAAAGGATATGAAGTGTCAGGGTTGGGTGCTGATGTTGCAGGCACGACTGTGCGGGGCCGCTTTCCTGGGGTACTCTGGAATACTCTGGAATAGGAAGCCAAAGGAAGTGAGGCAGTGGGTATCTCAAGGAGCATTTAAGGCAGATGGAAGAGTCAAGATTTAGGGAAGAACAGGAGAGAAAAGGCCTGTAAGATGATTTATTAATTCTTCTCACTGCGTTTGTTTGGTGGGTAAAACACTTATAGACTATAGGGAAAGAAAGGAGGAATTGACACTGGAATTGGGCTCATGGACCCAATGGAAATGATGAGAGAGAAGTGAAGGATGCTGCTCATTACAACGGAAAGAACTAGTATCTCAGTTTCCCTACTAAGAGTGCTACACTCACTTCTCAGGGGTTCTCTAGTTATTAATAAATTGCACAAACAGCAACCCTGACTATACGGCACCTCCATGTTAAAAGTGCATTCTTATTTTACTGCCAACATACTGTGTCAGCTTATTAAAGAACTAAAAATGAACCCTGAACTGATCTGATCTATTGCCTGGAAAATATGAAACAGGCCTAAAAAACAAATCTTGCACTCTTTTACCACATTCTACGCAGGTTTAGGTAATATCAAGGCTGACAGCTCAGATTGCTTTTCCTTTCTATAAACAATTGAGGCCAAATTTTCAGGCATCAACAGCTAAGATGCACCAGTAAAAATACAGATGCTTACCCAACGGACACAGGAAAACCCTTATTTCTGCCTGCCAAAGCAGTCAGTGTGCAGGCCAGAAGGAAAGAGTGCTCTCGGTGACCAGTACGTGTGCACAATTATTGATCTCACGTGCAGCTCTGCCACTTTGATCACCTGGCATCTGAGAGGTGGACTTTTCACATAAAAGCCTCCATTGGGGTTTCGTTTTGTGTTTTTTTAACGAGAGACTACAGCTCTCTGGCAAAATAAATGACATTACCTTTATTAATCCTCTCTCAGACATATTTAGAAAACGGTTCGATTTACCTTTAAAAATAAAGCATGATAAGGGTAGACTTGAAGGTATTTATATGGTCTTCATTTCCCAGATCACCTTGAAAAAATCCACTGAATCTATTGAAATGAGTTGGCCATTGGTCTGTAGTTTCCTCTGCTAACTCTGGAACTGGTGTCTTGGTTACACAGAAAGCAAAACACAGATTCTAGATGTCCTTAATCCAAAATGAAGAGGGAGAGGGGTGAGGAAGAGGACTTACAGTTAGAGAAAGGCAACAAGAATCCTTTGCCAACAATGCGATGGGTTGGGGAAGGGAAACCCTCGGAAAAGGTGTGAGTCCCCTAAATACCACAGTGAGAGCTCCATCATGCTTGCCACAAAGTGTCCTGGAAGATCACATCGGGCTTGGATAATGGAGGGAGGAGCGGAATTTCCAAACATGGCCGGGTGTTGGGTTATACCTGTACCACGACGTAGCTGCCTGCTTCACAGAGCCATCTGTCCGCGGGAAGCCTACCCACACAGCGCCATTTCCACTCTCTCCCAGGTACTCCCAGTCTCCCGTAAAACAGGATTAGCCGGTTTCTTTCAAAAGTGCCTGAGCCCCGAAGGTTCCTCCCGGAGGGGAACGCACATGGAGCCCATTCTTTCCAGCTTCTACCCCTGGCCAAGGCTGAGATGATGAATGGAAGTTGTCAGTGATGCATTGTTTCTTTAGCTGCCTTCGAGCTCTGCCTCCCCAGCCCCAGCCAACTGGCAATGTGTTGGGATCTCAGCACACCTGGTTGTAACTGAAACAAACTGGCTGCCCAATGAAGAAATCTCTGAAACCTGCTGTTAATGATTTATTTCAGGGCAAAATCTCGAGTGTGCGTTTTGAAAGTTGTTTTAAAATGGTTATGCATTTGTTTTATGGGTAAAATACAAACTACAATGGAATATTCTAGCTCTCGTTCTGAAAAAACAACAACAATGACAAGATAACCGTTCAAAAGAAAAATTTTAAATTTCCAAAGGAATCCTTTATCACCTAAGCCTCCCACTCTGAAAAGCTGGCCACTAAAGAAGCTGGGGAGAGCCAAGGCAAAGGGGACTCCCCCCCCCCGCCCGACACACACAGAGCCAACATCAAATTTAACATAATTCCTTAAAATCTGACTGCAACTCTCAAACGTGTGCATAAGAAATACAAATAGTGCATTCAACACAGTTACATATTTGCACCCTGATGTATTTCCAAGTGTCCGCGAGGGTTTTCTCCTAGCTATTCCTAGGATGTCTGGCCCTTTATTATTGTCATTTTCTCTTAAGTGTTTGATCTACAAGATGAAGCAGTTTCAAAGCAGGGCTTTTACACTTGGGCACATGGGGCAGGATGAGAAGGAGAAAAGAGTTTAAGAAGAAAAGCAATTTACTTTGCCAGTAGTATCCTGTTTTCTCCAACCGTTATTGAAGACACTTGTGTGTAAGTAGGGCTCTTTTCCTCTGTGCTTGTGATATTAATCTTTTGCCAAGGAAATGATTGTGAAGTCACCAGTTTAGCATTATGATTTTACTGAAAGATCAAGAAAAAGAGAGATGGGCTGTGAGTCTGAAACCCTATTGTAACACATGGGTATCTTTAATCATCAGCAATATATGAGTTGTCATCTGCAAAAGATTAATAAGGTTTGGGGTTTTACCAAAAACTGCTTAACTTTTGAAAACTACTCTGTATTGGTGGATATTTACCTTTCTGCTGATGTGGCTGCCTTAGAACAAATTAATGATGATCGAAAACAAATTTAAGGGAGTCTACCATAGATTCCAGCAGTAATAGCAGCAGTCGTAAATGGACTCCAACTTAGGTAAACTCCGGGAATCTGATGGCTTCCTTAAAGAGGATTATGAAAAGTTAAGTGATTTTCTGGTCTCCCATTTGCTGCAGAGGTAGAATTTTGGTCTAAAGAAGGGAGAATTCCCCAAGTGTTACGAGAAGGGACTTAACTTCTCTGAACTGCAGCTCACACCATGCAACTCTTACCTCTTTGCACTGAATTTAAACTCCTGACAAAGTATTGCTTAACAGGCTGGCGGTGGAGGAAGAGGAAGAAGCAGTCAAACAATTATTCATAGTAGTCAGTGAAACTGGGATAGACACAATGTATTATATCACTAGCTGAAAAATGTAAATTCAATAACATTTTTAAAAATTCTTTAGAGCTGAAAATTTTCTGGAAATTGCCACAGCAAGGAAGAAGAGACACATGCCCACTAAAACGTGCAGATTTAAGATAAAGACCCTCTTTGAAAGAGATAACTAGGATACAATTCCTCAATTTAGTAGGTAGAATAGTAAAAGAAAACAAATATGGTTGCCACAAAAATCAGAATGTAACCAGGCAACTATTTCCTTCACCAGCAGGAATCCTAATGGAGGGCACAGAAGAATCTCTACCACCCTTGCTGATTTTCTGCTCTGGTAACTTAAAGATCAAGAGCAGTGTGCTAGGTTTCTTACGCAGTAAATTTTTTTAGAAGGACCTGGTTGCAATGTTTCTCTGAAAAGTGATGACAGTACTAAATCAATCTTAACTTTCCCAGTAAAATCTTACCAAGATATTATTACCAAAGAAGTCACAGGACACACGGGAAAACTACAGTGTGGTCGAAAGAGGTGATAAGTCACGGCTCCCAACATGTTTATGATTCCTACCCATAAGTGAGGCCTAATTCACTGCCTAGCGTGATCCATATCACAATTTTTAAAAACAAAAGCAAGAAGAAGAAGAATCCTAAGGACTCAGGTGAGAATTAAGGGCCAATGCTTTAATTCAGTGAGCTATTACTATACTCACGAGGCAGACATCCCCCACTCTGCCCACTTGGAGAAGAATCTGGCAAACATAGCAAACACAGAATTCTTTAGGGCTGGAAGCTGATTATTTTCTCCGTGAAACTTAACTTCTCAAAGCGTGTAGTTTTACACATGCCTTACTAGAACAAATTTCCCTCCCTCTTCCTTTTAAATTAAGACTTTTATTTACGAGTCAAACGCTTTCCAAATATGAGAAGTACAGGTGATGGGAAAAGAATCCGAAAGGAAGAGCTCAGTGTCAGATCCTCACCCATTAGGAAATGACCCAAAGCTACAGTAACACTTACCTAGCCTTTGACTGAAGGGTTGGGAGGTGTGCCTGCTTTAGCTTAACATTTTTTATTACTGTTACATGATTGGGGAAGTTTGTAGGTTTCATTTGTCTTTGGTCACTGTAGAACACCTTCATAATGTTTTTTTCTTGACCACTACTAATATTATCTCTGTGGTTGGCACAGAGAAAGGAGGAAGTTTTTCTAACTGTGAATTTTTAAGAATTAGTCACAGAGACATTAGAGAATAGGGCATAAGGCAAGTTGTTATCTTATGCCTCACTTTTTCTGTGCCTTTTCTATTTGGTTTTCATAGGACCCAATGTTTGAAAGTGGGTTCTGAGTAAAAAGGAGAGTAGCAGTCATGTCACAGCCTTTAAGGTAGCTTAAAAAAAAAAAAAAGTTAGTCTTATGAGAGGTTTATTAAGTGCTACGTGCCTAAGCTATACATTACTAGGTACCATCCTATCCAGTTCCTTTTTTGTCAAGTATTTTAGAATCCTGAAGAAATCATCATAACTAGTTTTTGTGGCTGTTATAAAAACATCAATTAAAATTCAATTGAATGCAAAATGAATTGAATTAAACTAACTGCTGGAGATCATAGAATTTTTTTTTAATGTGACTCTTTCTGGCCTATCTGTATACCTACCTCCCTGCCTGCCTGTCTAAGCACCGTAGAGCCCTGGAGCTAGATGCCCAAATTTGAGTCTCAGTTCTGCCACTTAAATCTATGTCGATTTATACAAGCGTAACTGCCCTCTTTGTGCCTCAGTTTTCTCAATCCCAAACATGAGAAAGAATAACAGTATCTACCTCACAAGGTTATTGTGAGCATCAACCAGAGCAGCTTTTACAAATGCTGGTATTCAGGCCTCGCACATGCCACCTAATTTAGAATCTCTGGGGATGAGACCCAGGATGAGAAAGTTCCACTATCTTCCTCAGAGACTTACATCTTAGAAATAAGAGTGAACTGAAAATATGACTTAGATAAAATATGAAGTCTGCTTTTCAAGGGAGAGAGTGGTCTTCATGGTTAGAAGACAGTAAAGTTGCCAGCTTTATTATTTTTTTTTTAAAAGAAAGTACAAATTCATCAGATGGTTAGGTTCTAGCCAGTCTCCCTCCCTACTTGGTAGTAAATATGCCACCTACTCCCTAAAACCCTTGTGCTTGATGAAGGGGGTTAAAGGGCAGGTAGAAGAATGTCGAGGGAGGCCCACATGGCAATCACTTTGCTATTTCAGGTGCCTGACGGTGCCCCCTTTACCTCTGATACTGACAACAGACATCTCCCAACAAAATACTCAGTAATATCAATGAATTTCAGTGCCACAATACTCAGACTTTATACCTGACTTATTTAAAGCAGACTAGAGCAGTACTTTCTACTCTAGAGTAGAATGGGCAGTCGCTCCTATTCTGTGTACAGAAGGTCCTGGCTGTGTCTCTGGGTTTTAATACAAAATGCTCTACGAGTTCAGGTCCCTTGATTGTGAGAGATTAACTATTTTTGCCTCCTCAACCCATGCTCATTTTCTCCCTTAATCTGGGTAGAGAAGAGTGACAGGAACTAATGAGAACATTCTTGGAAAAGAAGAGAGGTCTGTCTACCAGGAGAAGTAGGGAAGACGTTACCTTATCGCGCATTCTTCCTCTGGCTTCCTCTTTCCACTGCCATTCCCCAAACCCTCACCTCTCACCCACACAGGGAAAGCTGTTTCTGGGGTCTTTACTGACCACGTTTGTATCATTACCATTAGAGGTATTCCAATGGAACAATTGGTGGACAGAACTGCAGGGAGAGGGGTATTACCGAACATTAGATTATATAAAGCCACATGGTGAAATCTTCCTGTGCCCTAAGAGTAGCCCATTCCCTGCTGCACTGAGGCAACTGAAGACGATTTTTCCTACCAATGTTTTGGGGTTTTTTTAAATAGTGTTGGAGCCAATGACTGCCATTTTAATTGGACTTGCTGAACACCTGAAGACTGAGATATTATTAAGGCATTATAGAGACTTCATTGCACTCCCTGCCCTGTCCCTTTTTTGTAATCAGTCACTTGGCCCTAGTTGCTATGTTTAGCTCAGCCAGGTGTCCTGAACATGTTTGCAATGCAGAGTGAGCAGCATATTGGGTGTCAGGTGGGGTTACTGACCTGAGAGCAGCTGGTTTCCACCCTGTGCATCCCGTAGGAAAAGTCATCTGTGAACGTGATTGCATCAGAACTGATCACATCGTGGAATGAAGGCCAACCTGGGGCAGAGCAACACGAGAGCAAAACAGAGAGGAGAGATATACAGCCTTGGGTTAGAATACAGTTTTAAAGAATTACTGTGCAAAAAAAAAGGACAATCTCTAGTACATGAATCATGCTTAACTTTTTCAACCTGGAAATAAAAAAGGTCAAAAGCTGAAGGATAATATATTTCATAAGAGTGCAACGATTTTTTAAGAATAACCTTTTCCTCACATTCAGATTATAGTTGAATTGGGATTTTGTGTTTCAAGAAGCATTCTTAGCCCATCCAGAGTTTCTTAGGGCCCTCCTGAATTTATAAAGCTGTCTCTTGCACTTTGTCTTATCTCTCTTCTTCAGAGTCACGGAGCACTCACGATGGGTCTTACGGTGTGACATTTTCCAAAACACCATCCAATTGTTCTGGCTGTTAACTTTTCGACTATTCCATGCCTCTTTAGGAAGCATGCTTTTTTAGTACTTTGTATGGTTAAAATATTTAAAAAATGAGTATTCCACAGTTTCCATCTTTATCTAATTTCTCGGGACGGGGGTATCTGGAAATCACAGCTTCTACCTATTTTATGGGGCAAGCGGCTTGCTCACTTCCTAGAAGAAAGTCAGAAAGCAGTGTTCTTCAGGCATCTCTAGGGAACATCTTCTCTCAAATAGCATCTTGTTCCAATTTTCATTTATTCTCATGATTTTTAAAATATGCACACAGCTTTAAGAAACTCAACGATAAGGGCCATAAGATTGTACAAATGTTTATGGGTGTACAGTCAGGTTTTATGTTCAATACTTATAGGTCTGTTTTTACATATTTCCAGAAAATTTGTCTGGAGTTACTGAGCTAAAGCCCAAAATGATGGAAGAGGTGCGATGTTGCTGAACTGCTGGTACATTTTTTTTTTTTTCTCTTTCAGAAGCCAAATTTATTCCTGCAGAAAGGAGGAAGCCCTTTAAAAACATGGTGCGTTGTGTTAATACACCAACTGAAAGAAAACAGAATGCAGACTTCAACAATATGATTTCCAGTGTCAAACAAAACAAACTGGCTCAGGCCAAGTTTTTATAAGAAACTCCCGCACGCTCCCCACCCCCCACTAGGCAACAGTATAGCTTTCACAGTTGGTGCTAGGTTTAACAGCACCAACACTTTCCAGTTCCTTGATTTGAGTTCAAGATTGCTGCAAATCACCAGAAAAATCTTAACTTTCTAGATATAAGATACTACTCCTCAAAAAACAATTATGCCAGCAAACACCAGTATTCCTAAGAAAAACTTCTCTCCCTATTTTCTAAATTCTAAAGAGAATCTAAACATATTCTAGGCTATAGCTTTTGGTTTATAATGACTACTTGACACCTATATGTCTTCTTGTTCAATGGTAGAAGTTTCAGTAGCTAGCAATGACAGGTTTAAAGGCGATGTTTGAAGACACTGGAAAATAACTTAGCTACGAATAGAAAGAAGAGAACATTCTATATTTTTTAACCTCCCAGGTTACAGACAACTCATTCAATGGCAGTTTTATGGCAACTAATATCATGGAGGGACATATTTGATTCAGTGGGAAACAGATAAAGAGTTAGGAATTTTGTTGTTGTTGTTAATTTACCATAAAGCTACCCCCCAGCACACACACATTTTCCTATTTCTAGAATTCGAAATAAGTATGGCGAAATGTACATAAAATATATATATTTCCCCCTCCCACATTACCTCCTCATTTTTTTAACGTTTACTTATTTTTGAGAGAGAGGCACGTGAGTGGGGCAGGGGCAGAGAGAGAGGGAAACAGAGGATCTGAAGCAGGCTATGTGCTGACAGCACGGAGCCCGATGCGGGGCTTAAACTCACAAACTGTAAGATCATGACCTGAGCCAAAGTTGGATGCTTAACTGACTGAGCCACTCAGGCGTCCCACCTCTTCATCTTATATACACTTCTCTTGTTCTACTTATACTGGATTTTTTACTTATTTGTTTTCATGCTTTCCTCTCTGACTAGGTGGTAAACACTTTGGAGGCAGAGTCTGTGCAAATAAGAAAATGAGATGAATATTTATGGTACATCACAGAGTCCCACAGGAGAGAGAAAATATAATCACATTCCTTTTTTACCTGCTACCTTAAGAAATAAGAATGCTGTTTTGTCAGTGGAGTGGTATACAGTGTGGCTCAAACATCATAATTAAGCCTCTCTTTATAGGTGCAGCAAGCTTATTATTAATTTAGGATGATATATCCATAAAGATCATCTAGGTCACTCACTGAACAGAATTTTTTGTGGGGAGGAGAAGGAGAGGGGGCAGAAGGACATGGTACCTGCCTATGGTATGCAGGCCCTAAGTGGCAAAGCCAAAGCTGGACTCTGGGTACTCTGACTTTAGTCTAGGGCTGTCTTCTTTCTTCCTCCATAAAAGGCCGAGACAGCATTTACTTCAATACTCCAACAGGAAGCAGGCTGCAGGTTTTAGGACTGGATGGTGGTAACATTGTGCCACTTAGGAGCTTCGAGGTTGCAGTGGATAATGAATGTACCCTAAACAATACTGACTCTCTCACTAATAACCAAACTGTTCCAAAAGAAAGTCCAAGAGTAATGACATATATTTGTAACCTAGTTTGGGACATGGATAACTTTTTATTCATTTATCTAAAACAACTACAAATACTTTGAAACTCACCTTATGTAATAATATTGAGAAAGCTGTCAATTCTGTTTGGGGTTCCTTAATTCGAATTCTTTCCTAACAACTGTGAATCATTGCCTTTTAAGACTTTGGAGAGGGAAAGGAACTGCTTTCCTTGAATGAATGAGCTATTAAGCCACACAGCTATCCATCTTGTCTCCATGAATTAAATATTTATAGAATTTTCCAGAAGACTATATTCAAGATTAGACAAGGATGAGGTATAGCTCATGGGGTAGGGGCTCTCCAAAGATTTCAGTGTTTCTAGGAAAACTGCTGACACTTGAATAGTGTCTTAGTTATTTCTTGCGGCATTGTTTAAACATCAGAAGAGACGCTAAAAACCCAACCAAACAAAAAACAATTTTTTTCCAAAACTCCCCAAAATTCAGTGTCTCTTTGCGCTGTAGAAGAAATGCAGGTTTCAGGATGGAATATTTGATATGTCATTCAAATCTTCATTAGTGGAGATTGACAAGGGCAACTACGTTAAAGACTATAAATAACCCAGTGTGCCGGAACACGTTTCAAAAGAGAATCATGGCCAAGTTCAATAAGGTTAACACAGGAGAACATTGAATGCTTTTTCTAGGTCTCCCAGAAAAAGCAAAGCTCTACAGAAGGAGAATCCATCAGAAAAGCAAGTCCTTATTGACAATCAAACTAAGAAGGACCTTTACCCAAGAATAAATTGTCTCATGGCAGAGAAGCCACAGAGATGACAGCACTTTGAAAGCGAAATTCCCTCATCATGTGAAAGTATTTAAAGGAGCAACTCTTCACTGCTGCAAAAATCCTCAAAGGAAACCCTGCCCCCACTCCTAATAGTAAGGAAAGTGCTTCAAAGGGTGATAGGCAAGGCTGAAGCAATCTGGGTCTTGTTGAGAAAATTATCTTGAGCAAAAGGGGGACGGGGATGTGTTTATGTCAGTTTTGACATTAAAGAAAGATCATCCATCCTCCTTTCTCTAGGATTTCCCTTTTGGTCTTCTCATCTAACAAAACATTATTTGTTTTGGATGCATTCCATGCTCTTTTTAAAAGAACAGCCATTTAAAAACCTGTATAAACAGAGTTGGTTCACCCCACCCCCGATACATCCCTTTGTTTCTATTTGATGAGGTTTTTTGGCTGTATTATCATTTTATTTCTAAAAGTATAAACTGTACTTTGTAGATATTAGCCTGTCATCATCAGGGATGTCCTCTATTCAATAAATAGATTCTCCCCTCAAAGACTTCTCGCCTCCAGACAGCATATGAATACAAGTACCACAACTAAATCAGCCAAGGCGACTGCAGGCAGTCCTGCTTCAGGGTGACCCAACCATCAGGCCACATTAATCTGCAGACATAACTTCATAGTATTGGCATAACAGGAAGCACATCCATGATATGTTCATTTATATCCCAAATCTAAGAACAAGTGATCCAGTTTGTGAATAGTAGATCCTTGGCGCTTGCTACCATCTAGAATGGATTTTTTTAAAGACTGCAGTAAAAGGAATTATTCCTTCTGACTCAGAATGTGGCTCACTAGAGCTGCTCAGAGTCTACTTGAACCCATCCCTGAATAGAGATGCAGCTTTCCACAGTGGTGTTCTATTGACAGATCTGTAAATGTTTCATTCTAACTGCCTCCTGAGAAAAACTATCTCATCACTCTATCCCATCCTTTTCCTCCTTCCTTTCAAAAATCTTTGAAACAAGTTGTCAAAACCAGCAATGTACTATGAACAAGTTGAAGCCAACCCCATCTGCACCATGTCTAGAAAATGTGGTCCTCTTTCCTCTACTCTTAATTTGACAAGGATTGCTATACAGCTGCCACGTTCCTTGTATCTCCCCCCACACCCCAAATAAAAATAAGAAACCTCAGTAAGTTAGCTACATGAGCCGTCAACAGAACACAACAGAAACTACCCATGACCAAGAATTATTACACTGAAATGTAATTACAGATGTTTTAGTATCTTCAAACGCAAAATCAGTTTGAACACAACAAATCCCAGTTGGGCTTATTAGATGATGTTTTAATAATGATAAACATTTGAGCACGGTTTTGGTGAGACACATTGGACATTTACAGATCTGTATTTTTCCTCTATGTACCAATCCCCACAGCTCTATAATTCTAGGTTATAGATGGCTAAGATGGCCTTAGCACCCTGACCCTCCTTCTACCATTTTCTCCCCATTCCAATGTTCAGCCCTAATGAAGTCTTCTATGCTTTTCTATAGATTGGTTCTGAGAATTGAAAACTAGTAAACAGCATTAGTATTATTAGGGCTATAGACATGTTGCTACTGCATAGCTAA